CCCCCCCCTGTACCCCCGCTGAGGGGGGCCCCCCGGGGGGCCCCCCTCAGCGGGGGCATAGGGGGTCCCCAGCAGCGCCTCCTGCTGCGTGCTGTACTGCCCGTTGGGGGCTGGAAGGGCTGGGGGGGCCCCCTTGGGGGCCCCCTGGGGCCTCGCGAGGGGGCCCCTGGGCGGGCCTGCTGCTGGGGGGCCCCCCGGCAGCAGCTGCAGCAGACTGGGGGGCCCCCCGCAAAGCTGACCCGGGCAAAAGGCCCTCCCCTCTGGGCGCGCTGTACCCTCCTTGACAAAGACTGGGGAGGGGAAGGCAGAGGGGGCCCCCTGGGGGCCCCCGAGACCCCCATTTGATCTGACAGCATCTTCAGGGCTCCAGATAAGTCTGAGGGAGCATTTGCTGGCCACTGGGACTCGGGAAAAACACACTTTCGGTAGTCTAAGCCCTCCAACTGCTGCTGCTGCTGCTGCTGCTGCTGCTGCTGCTGCTGCTGCAGAGGCCGCTGGGCAGCAGCGTCGCCGAATTCTGCAAAGTAAATAAACTGGCGAGAGTTTTCCGCGTGGGCGTTGTCGCTCGGGGGCGAGTGCTGGGGTGTACGTACACCCGGCTGGGGGGGGGCCCCCGCGCTGCTGTTCAGGGAAGAAGACAGGGGGGGCCCCCCTGGGGAAATATTGCAAGTGTCGAGCATAGTTGGAGTTGCAGAAAGGGTACTTGCTGCGTCGATTGGGACTCGGGGGCCCAAGGGGGGCCCTGGGGGCCCTCGGGGCTTCTAAGGGGGGCCCCAAAGGCTTCAAATGGACTTCTTGTTGGCCCTGAGCTTCAGGCAAATCAAATTAGCTCGGGGAAGACGGGGGGGGGCGGGGGGCCGGGCCAGCGCGGCCAAGGCGGCCCAGCGAGCCGCGCTGCTGGGGGGAAACGCGGGCAAAAGACATTAATTAGTTGACATGCATTTAAATTTGCAATTTAATTCGACAGGAAATAATATTTGGAGCGTTTTGAGCGGAAACAGACACGGGCGAGGCGAGGGATCGTCGCAGCTGCTGCGGTTACCTGCGAGCGGCGGCTGCGCTCTTTCGCCACGCAGGCAAGACACGGGCCTGTCTGCGGCGAAGAACAAAGATAACCAAGCTCGAAATAAAGATAAAATTCAAACAAAAAGGCTAAGAGGAAAGCTGAAGTGAGTATTGCATTGAAGGGTACGCACACCCGGCTGCGCGCAGCGGCAACCGAACCAGCAGCGACGCAGCCCAACCTCTGCAGGGGGGAACGAGCCACAAATCTGCATCGGTTTGGTCTTTCTGAACAAGGAAATACTCAAATTGACCTTATTGTTGCATAAAATAAATGTTAACTGCAAGAATTTCTCCGGAAAGGGGTCTTCACAGGGTCGGCGGTCGGGCCTGCGTTCTCCTGCTGGGGCGCTGCTCAGTGGGCGGACGCAGCTCGCGAGGCAGCGCGAGAATCTGAAGAGCAGAATGTCCATTTAAAATGAACTAAATAGAATTACAAATTCGAAATTTGATTGTTTCAAATTGCCATTAAAAGGAAGCGTTCGTACGCTGCTCACTGCGGCATCTGGTGTGTGCATCTGTCGACAGAACAGCCGGCGACTTCACCCCCGTTCGCCGCTTTCCCCGCGGCTTCCTCCTTAATTTCTTTCAATTTATTATGTGAAAAGCTTTAATTCTAAGTTTCAAAGAAGAAGAGACAAAAGACAAGGAGAATGCCGAGCAGTGACGGCGATTCAGCCCGGCCGCAGCAGCTACGCGGAAGCCGCTGCATCCTTTCAACAGCTGCACCACCAACGCCGCAGATGCTTCTTCCCAAAGGTTAATTTACTTTTATAATAACAAAATTTTGAAGTTTAGGGCTTAGGATTAAGGATTTAGTGGCAAGGGCTTGGAGTGTAGGGCCAAAGTTTGCGGGTCATCTGCAGCTCCCGGAGTTTCTGCATACAATTCAACATGGCGGCGAAGGCTTTCCCACTCCCTTTCTACTTGCAAATTTGAATACCTAGAGATGCACTGCGTGGCGAGACACAGGTTTTCTGTTCAAAAAGAAGAACAACTCTGCAGAATTTGGCGAAATAATTCAAATTAAGTTCTCAAAAAAACAAAAAAGAACGTGTATTGGCTGTCTGCCGCAGGGGAAGCCACACTTGGCTGTCTACTGCCTAGCTGAATGCCATTTCAAGCCCGACAGCAAAGAAACTGACACGCAGATGAACACTTTTGGCTTATTTTCCGTCAGAGAGGTTTATTTGAATTATTTGAAAGATATTAGAAGTTGAAAAGCTGCAAAAATGGAATTAAAATATGCTAATTGTTCCATCTGCAAACTGAATGCATTCCAATCTTGCCCAGAGCTGCGTAACTTGAACGAAAACGAATTCGCGAATCGCAAAAAGTGGTGTCAAACGATTGTTCTTGGTGATTAACTTGCAACGAGCTATTTTTAGTAATTGAGATTATTACACTTCTGCTGCTGCTGCTGCTGCTGCTGCTGCTGCTGCTGCTGGTAACTTGCTTGTCTAGTTGAAAGAAAAGGGGTTTCTCAGATCCTACAATAGTACCCAAGGCCGGCGCAGTTTAATCTCAATGAGAATCTGCAAACTAAACTTCAAAACATTTTATGTAAAAGTCTGCAGAAATGGAGTGCAATGAACTTGCAGAGGCTATTCAAGTGCGGCAGCAAGGATCGCGTTTGCTGCTGACTTCTATATATGCTGTGTGCAGATCACAGTGGCAAGTTCTGCAAAAAGCTCATTTCTGTGCATTTTATTTACTCTCATCTTATTCTTATCTCATTTTAACCTTCACCACTTTCATATCTTTATTCTAAGAGGTAAAACGGTGCAGATTGCTGCTGGTTCAGCCGACTTCGAAGTACTACTGAGCCGCCAGTCATAGCAGATGTTACCGCAGTGTAAAAAGAATTCATCAAACTCCGCAAACAAGAGGAGAAACAATACCAGGAACTTAAAAATTAATATAGGGTGATGTATTAAGCACTTTTAAATTGAAATCTAGGCTGTTTTGCACGTGAAAGCAGAAAGCTGCATGCACGAAGGCCACGAATCTTTCCGCATAGCAATGTCAGTCAGCGATCTGCACCGATTCCATTAGATAAAACCAAAAGGTCCACTTGTTTCATGAAGTTTGACAATAAATCACGAGAACTACAAGTGGAAAGTTGTTGGCCCGTGCTTTATGCTCTATAGCAGTCAGATTCAGCTCTTCAAAGCTGGGAAAGCGCGCATGAAAACAGTTAACTTCAGTCTGCAGCGCCTCTGTTAATCTAAAATCTAAAAACTGCATTTGAAACTGCAATTGAAAGAATATCCTTCGTTCTTGAAAGGCAAAAAGTTTGAAGAATTCAACTTCACTGTCTCATCCGCAGTTCGACTGTGCTCGATTGGAACTCGTCGCCTTGGCATTTACGAACATCAGTAGATGTCCCTCTGCGTCAATATCACCTCTTTTTATTTCACTGAATTGCTTTAATTAAATATATTTCTTTTCTTCCCATTAGTTCCGAGTTATCTGTGCTGTGTGCGCGCAGACTTGCGCATGCGCGGGAAGTCTGAATGTTCGGGGTAGAATGTCCTGAGGAAACCTTTGCAACACGCCACTATTCCTCGAAACGGGGAGAAGAAATCTATTTTCAAATAAAAGAGATTTAATTTTTATATGTTGAGGGATGAAATAAAGTGATGGAAGGAAGCGACAAGAAACCTGGCAGGCCACGCGTTGCCACAACATACTCACACAAGAACACTTTTGAAAGGCTCGAGTGAAATATGCTGCAGCAAATAATCCTGAGTAGCTTTTGTTTTATTTCCAGAGCTAGAAAATAGTCCTGAGTAGCTTTTGTTTTATTTCCAGAACTGAAATGCTGGAAAGCTGGCCGAGGATACTCCCAGTTAGTGCCGAAAGCCACACTGCGGAGTTGTTTGCAATTCCCTCAAGTGCTTTCAAGGGAGTTTGAAGTGGCCTTTGCCAGAACAATTCAGTTTGTGTCCTGAGAGGAAAAAATAAATATTTTGAGAGGCTTTTAATGCGCCGTGAAGGTCTTAGAACAGAAAAGTGGACAGAAATGCCCGCGAAGCAGGTGTTGCCAACTGCATGCAGTGGCGCAGCTTCCTGATAAGGCAAATTGGCATTTAATCAGCTTAAGAAGTGGCATTTAATCAGTTTAAAAAGTGGCATTTAATCAGTTTAAGAACAAGATTTCCTCGGGATAGAAACGGCGCTAGCTGAGAAGCAAAGATGAACAGATTTGCAACAAGACACTGCTTCTTCTTCACAGGGGCTCTTTTTCCTTTTCTCGAAAAGGGAAAGAAAGCCTCTGAAACCCACACAGCTGCGCAAACCAACAGTTAGTCTTTTTAATCTTTTATAAATAAATTACTTGTAGCTTTCAGCTGTGAACTACTGCTGGCGGGAAGCGCCCAGCGTTCAGGAAAGCCGCCATAGCCGCTGGGCTTCACCCCGGGGGCACATTTAGAAGAAGTTTCCCAACTGACATCTCTTTTTTTGCTTTTAGATTCTTTTTCTGCATTTCTGCATTTATAAATTGCGGTGTGTGTGTCACTGGAGGCCCCCTAATGGCCCATTGGCGGATTCGCGGTGAAATGGCGGTGCCTCACTTGTCTTACTGTTTTGATGCATTTCATAATGGACATAAAGGACACTTTGTTCGAAACTTTAGTCCCATCTTTCGCAAACTCGGGAAGAAAACAACAAATGGCTGCTTTTCTATTTTAGAAATAGCCAGCAACCCCACCGACCAGAACAGAATGTCTGAATGAACATTCATGTGAAAGGGGGTCACTGACAACAACTTTCGGTGCCTGCGAAGTGGAATAGCGCTCCTAAAGATCCATCCAAACCCTAATTTATTATTTAAAAGGCTTTTTTGCAAAAATAAAACTAGAAAAGGCTTCAACTGGGGCTTCAGTGAACCCCTCCTCTGCAGGGTTCCTTAGCAGCACACCCCTCGCGTAGCCTTATCCGCGTACTTGTTGCCATATTTCTGAGGCTTTATCCTTTCAATTAATCTATCATTGCTTTTTATTTCTTTTTCTCAACAAAAAATCAATTATTTTCCGCATTCCGTGGCTGTTTACCCGCAATCAGCTGTACGAGCCACCCCGCTGCTGCGGAAAGCGGAGGAAGGATCCTGGCAGTGCACCCACTGGCGCATTCGCATAATTGCAAAAATTAAGTCCAAAAATAAAGTAAATTAAATAATTAAAAAATAAATTAAATTGTAATCGTTCTTACATTACTGCACTTGCAGCACACGCGCGGCAAATCACACGCGCGTTTGCGATCACTTGAATTCGCTCCAAGACAGAGTTATAAAAACAAGAACAAACGAACAAATGCAGCGAAATATCAAATAAAATAAATAATAATATAATAGAATAAAGTAAATAAACAATTCGGGGAATTTTTCATCAAAAAAACGAAAAGTTGCAAATGAATGACAGAAGCAAACAAGAGTGAGAGGCGAGGTGCTGCAGACAGAAGCAAAATAGCACAAGACTAATTCTTTAACACATTTAATTGTTGGCAAAAGTTTGAAATGTTTTATTATTTGCAATTTTAATATTAAAAGTAGACAGATATAAAGGTATTTATCCCAGCAATTCATTACTAAGTTGCTGCCGAAAAAACATCTAAGAAGCAACATGCAAGATAATAGCTAGCTACAGCAGCAGCAGCTGCTGCAGCTGCTGCTGCTAGCTGCAACAGTAGCTGCTGCTGCAGCTGCTGCTGCTACGTTTGCTGCTGCTGCAGCAGCTGCAGCAGCAAATGCCAGGGATGTAACTGCAGCGGAAGCAGCTGCACACGCAGCAGCAGCAACCGCGGCGGTAGCAGCTGCAAGTGCTGCAGCAGCAGCAGCACAGCCAGCAGCAGCAGCAGCAAAACGGCGCGCAGCAGCAACAAAAAATGAAAAAATAAGAAAAGTGTTATTAGAAAAGTGACAGAAAGATTTAGAAAATGGAACTTTAAAAACTTAGAAAGCAGAAATAACAGCAGCAGCTTGCAGCAGCAAAACTATTTAATATCAAAAAATGGAAATTTGTTTTCAAAAATAAATAAATAAACATCAGACAAAGCAGCAAGCCATTTCATACTTTCCACAGGAGAAAAATAAAAATAAAAAGCAAAAAAAGTTAAATAAATAAAAACAAAAATAAAATAAAATAAAATAGTTTGAAATATCATACCACTTCGACACAGTGGTCTTAGGCGAGTTTTATTTAATGCAAAATGCATTATTAGAAAATAAAAAATAAAAAATAAAAAATAAAAAATAAAATGAAAAAGCTGACAAAAGTTTGAAGAGTTTGGCATTTAAAAGAAGGAGAAAAAGGCCAAAATGCAGCAGAAACCTTTTTTTTTTAAATTTTGAGATTAATTAATTTTGAAATAAACTTTTTTGTTTCTGCAAAGTTTAAATAATTAGTAAAGAGATAACTGCATTAGCATTAAAAATGCCATTTCTTGTTAAATGAGTTATTATTGAGTCCAAGTTAGTCTTAGCCAATCAAGTTAAGGTAAGAAAGTGAAATGTTTGTATTTAGGGAAAAAAGAAAAATAAAAGAATAAAAGAATATTTTATTCTTTTATTCTTAATTTAATAGGACTGGCATATGCCATTAGCTGCAGTAACAGACTGGCAGGTGTTAATTAAATTAACAAAATGGCATTTGCCATTATAAGTAGAAGTTTGGCTAAGTAGTTTGAAGAGAACAAACAGGATCTTTGAAAAGCCATTTTAAATTAAATTAACAAAATGGCATTTGCCATTATAAATAGAAGTTTGGCTAAGTAGTTTGAAGAGAACAAACAGGATCTTTGAAAAGCCATTTTAATTCAAGAAAGCTGAAGTCCATATTTGACGGGAAAGCTGCAGCAAAGGGAGCTTGTGTGCAGTTTGGTACTTTGCAGGAATTAATTTGTTGAGTTTTCTCTTTTAAATGTTTATTATTTTAAATTTATAATATTTATTATAATATTTAAAGCTCAAGAAGCGAACATTTACTGAGCCGGCACTCATCTGCCCAGAGCCAAGCCGCCTCCAGCGGTCTGGTGCGAGGCCCCGTCGCTATATTCGGGCTGCAATTAATTCCAAACTTAATTATTCATTAAATTGGTTTTTTAAATTTGAATATTTGAGGGAAATGAGAAGAAAGAACTCCGAGATCGTTCTGTCGCAAACACCTTTCTGGTTTCTGTACACCCCAGCTCGGGGCTGGAGAGCCGCTGGATTCGGCGGCGCATTTGAGTTAATTGAACGCGTTTTTCGTGTCTTAATATCTATTTTAAATTTAAATTTAACTTTTGATTAATTTAAGTGTCGCGAAACTCCGAAGTTCAAGTCCTAGCGAGGGGCTTTCGGCGCCGCGAAGCGGCCCAGTGTACATACACCCCGAGCAGTTGCGGCGGCTCGGCGTTGCGTCGTTGGAATCCGGCGGCGCCACTTTTATTTTTCTGTCTTCTGCTTTTTCAAAACAAAACAAAGTGTTGTTTTGAATTAATGAAGAGAAATTGAAGTCCGTTGCAGCATTTTTGCCGTCGCTTTCGCAGCAGCAGAATCGAAGCTCGTCGGAATCGATGTCGCTGAAGCCTGCAGCGCGTTCCTTGCTGGTCTTGCTGCTTCTGGCAGCAGCAGCAGCTTCTTTTGCTGCAGCAGCAGAAAATTCTGCTGCTGCTTCCGTTGGAACTCAAGTTGACTTGAGATCTGATACTCTGCAGCAGCAGCAGCAGCAGCAGGCGCCGGTGCTTCTGTCGACGGAGCCTTCCGCCCCAGAAGCAGCAGAGACTGCAGCAGCAGCAGCAGCTGCTGCAGCAGCTGCTGCAGAAGCAGCAGCAGCAGCAGCAGATGAGTCTGTCTTGCTGGAAAAGTCACAAGAGCAGCAGCAGGAAAAGGCGCGGCGCGCAGCAGGCGTCCGCGTCGCGCTGGGACTCGGAGCTTTTGCTGCTGCTGCTGCTGCGCTGCTGCTGCTGCTGCAGCTAAATGGCAAACTTCCCGAAATCCCGGAAGCGGTGAGAAATTAAAAAGAAATAAATTTAAAAAATGAAAAATGAAACTTCGGGACGCGACGCTGCGCAGCAGCGCGAGGTGTCTAGACACCCCGTGGCCCGGATGCAGCAGAGAAAGTTCTTTTGCAGCTTTCATTTTATTTTTTTTACTTTTATTTTTAATTATTTTATTTATTCAAGTTCGTGCAGGTGCATGCTTCGGGCTTTTCAAATTTGCTGCGAAAGCAACTTGTGCTGCATCGAAGCAAATAAATAATTGTTTTATTGCTTCATTTGTTTTGTTGTTCTAATCTGTTTCTTGCTGCTGCTGCTGCTGCTGCTGCTGTTGCTGCTGCTGCTGCTGCTGCTGTTGCTGCTGCTGCAGCTGCAGTTTGGGGCCAGCAAAGAGTGCGAAGGCGGAGTTTGCAAAATGGCGGAGTGAAGTGAAGAAGCAAAAAGTTAATTATAATTATAAGTTGGAGAAAGCTGCCAACAAATTAAATAAACAAATCAATAAAAATAAATAAATAAATAAATAAATAAATAAATAAATAAATAAAAATAAAAATAAATTAATTCTTCGAGTGGCAGTGAAACAGAAGAAAACAATGGAGGCCCCAGGGCCTCTTTTTTGTTTTTCGTTTGCTTCCGAGAGCTCCCAACTCTTTTTAAAGTGGTCTTTTGAATAATTCAAAGTTTGAATTATTTAATTATTTTTTATTTAAATTTTATTTATTTTTTCAACTAGCAAATTAGCTGCTGCTGCTGCTGCAGTGGACACTCAGCTTAGCAGGCAGCTCCAAAACAATGGAAAGCACGTGCAGCTGCAGCAGCAGCTCAGGCAGCAACTGCGGCTGCAGCAAGGGCGAGTAGAGAGGCCAGCAGCGCAGCAGCAA